AGATACCCACAGCTAAACAGTGAACTGAACTGGAATCCAGTTGCAGAGAAGGGCGAGTGTTGAGCAAAGGGGTCAAGACCAGGCTGGTGAAACCCACAGAAACAGCTGACCTGAACAAGGGGAGCTCTTGGTCCCCAGACTGATAGCTGGGATACCAGCATGGGACTGATCCAGACCCATGAACGTGGGTGTCAGTGAGGAGACCTCGGAAATCTATGGGGCCTTTTGTAGTGGATCAGTACTTATCCCTAGCATAGGAATAAACTTTGGGAGCCTATCCCACATAGAGGGATACTCCCTGAGCCTAGACACAAGGGGGTGGGCCTAGGCCCTATCCCAAAGGATATGACAGACTCTGAAGACTCCCTATGGAAGGCCTCACCCTCCCTGGGGAACAGAAAGGGTATGGGGATAGTTAGGGTGTTAGTTGGGAGGGGGGCGAGAGGAGGAGTGGAGGGAGAGGGAACTGGGATTGACATGTAAAACAATCTTGTTTCTAATTCAAATAAAAAATGGAGAAAAAGAGAAAAAAGAATGATATAAGAGATTAAGAATGATACAGGACTACAAAACCATCAGAATCAATAACAAAGCATTAAGGCGTCTTTACTAAATACTTTTTAAATAAAGATGGATTATATTTTACAGTCAAAAGACAAAGAAGCTGAATAAACAAGCAAACCACAACAACAAAAAACAAAATAAAGACACGACAACACCAAAAGCCTGCTTATCTTTAAGGACTAATACACTGCAGGCATAAGGACAGAAAAATATCTTTACCAGTTGTTCATTTGATAGAATATATAAAGGACACCAGACACCAAGAAAACAAAAAATCCAATTAAAAATGGGGAACATAACTAAAGAGAGTTCTCAAAAGAGGAAACACAAATGGCTGAGAAACACTTAAAAGAATGCTCGACATCCTTAGCCATCAGGAGAACAGAAATCAAAACTACTCTGTGTAGGGAGACACCCTAGCCCCGCCCCAGGCAACCCAGACAGGTGCCAGGTGTACCGGGACACGCCCATGAGGGCGGGGTGAAGGGAAGTGGGGGGGGCGGGGGTGACATAAGGCAAGGTTCTTAAGGGCTGCACGTGTGGAGACCTGGCCCTTCTCTCTTTTGTTCCCCCAGCTACCAGTGCTGGTTCCAGCTCCCTCCCTCTCACTTGATTGGTGTATCTCAATAAAGAAAACCTTAGCACTATTGGCTGCGGGCTGTTCACTCTTCAACTCTGAGATTTTAATCTTACGTCAGTCAAAATAGCCAACATCAATAAAACAAATGACAAGGATTGGGGAAAGGGGAACACTCACTCATTGCCGGTGGGAGTGCAAACTGGTACAGCCCCTATGGAAATCAGTGCCTCAGTTCCTCAGGAAGGATGGGGTCAAGCTACCTCAAGAGCCACCATCCTCCTTTAGGGCATATACCCAAAGGACTCTACATCCTACTAGAGAGACACTTGTTCATCCATGGTCTCTGCTGTTCTATTTGTAAAAGCTAGAAATTGGAAACAGCCTAGGTATCTGTCACCTGAAGAATGGATAATGAAAATATACATTTACACAGTGGAATATTATTCAGCTGTTAAGAAAAATGAAAATGAAAGTTTTCAGGTAAATGGATGGAGCCAGAAAAAAAGAAATCATGAATGAAGTAACACAGACCCCAAAAGACATATTATGCTTTCTTTTGTATGTATTCTCACTCTATCAGAATGAAATTATATGAAGTTATTCCCACACCCAAATTTCCCATTCTTAGTCTCAAAAACAGAAGCTTACCAATATCACTGGCGAACTCATAGACATGGGGTTTCTGCAGCAGCCCTAGCTGGCACATGCAGGTCAGGGCATTGAGAGCTTTCACAATGACAAACTCCTCAGCATCACTGAGGCCTTGCTGGAGCAGGGGTTTGAGGATGGAGGAGCTCTGCCAGCCAACATAGGCAGCAACACCTGAAAGGGAAGGCAGTATTACTGTCACTCAACACCTGAAAACACATGTCACCACAGAGCAGCCTGTTACAGTGTGAACATCAAGCCACTGATCAGAACCAGGGAAGAACCAAACTTCCTTCCCAGTACAATAACCAAACAAACAAAAAAACCCAAAGTCAGTCCTCCAGAAATTTGGGGACTCCATAACTCACAACAGAAAAAACACAGGTCTCCCCAAACTGTCAATAATGAGAAAACAAAAATAAGTCACTTTAAGACATGCAAGGACTATAGAGGTGTACCTCCTAGACAGCTCTTTCTCAGAAGTTTCCTGAAAATAGAACTCCAGCAAAACAGACAGGAGGTGGAGAATCGACAAAACAGATGTAGCCCAACGGATTCAAGGAGGAAAAGCAACAACAGCTAACAAAATCCTCCAACCCAGTTAGACATAATTATTTCAGGGACATCTGGGGCTAGAGAGGGGGCTCAATTGCTAAAGTGCCTGTTGTGGAAGCATGGGGACCCAGGTTTGATCTCTCGTCTATAACTCTAACACTGGAGAGAGCAGGTAGGGGAATCCATGGAGCTCACTGGCTGACCACCTAGAGTACTGGATGGGCTCCAGCTTCAGAGACCTCGCCTCAAAGCAGTAAGGTGGACAGTAACCACAAACTGACACTGACCTGTAGCCTACACACACATATACACACATACACACACAAAACCACAAGTGAAATGACCCACAAGAACACATATACACATGAAATGATCCACACAAACATGTACTCTCTTTCTTTCCCTCTCTCCCTTCCTTCCTCCCCCCCTCTTCCCTCCCTCCCCACAATCAATTTCAAGAATAACAGAAGGAAGAAGAGGGATAGATTTCAAGCAACAAATAACACTGGGAAGAAAGCAGAACCCTGAAGACAAGTGAAGAAAGAAAGAAAATCTAAAACTCCAGAGCACACACCAGGTCACATTTGAACATGAAATAAGTTAAAACGCACAGGGACTCTAGCCACTGAAAGATGAAAGTATATAATTATACTTCCTAATTTGATTTCTGCTGCAGTAGCCTCAAGTGCAGGGGAGTGACCAAACCAGAGCACTCTGGAGTAACTATCTGACTCTTAGTCATTAAAACACATTCGTTATAATGTAAATGTTATCCTGATCCTTTAGAATAAGTCTATTTGAAAACACTTTATTTTAATCATAGGACACAAAGTAAATGTTTACTATGGCAGTAAAATTATTAAAAATTCAACTAAGCAAAGGGAGGATGCAAATGTGTAGAGGAGAGGGCATTAATCTCCTTAAACTACAAATAAAAAGGACAATAGTAATATATACTAAAGCAAACTTCTAAAAACTGAGTAACGCTAAGAAGTGAGCAGTGTGTGGTCGCTCACACATGATCATCAGCATCCTGAGCCATGTGTGGCGGCGCACACATGACCATCGGCATCCTGAGCCACGTGTGGCGGCGCACACATGACCATCAGCATCCTGAGCCACGTGTGATGGCACACTCATGACCATCAGCATCCTGAGCCACGTGTGGCGGCTCACTCGTGACCATCAGCATCCTGAGCCACGTGTGGCGGCTCACTCGTGACCATCAGCATCCTGAGCCACGTGTGGCGGCTCACACATGACCATCAGCATCCTGAGCCATGTGTGGTGGCGCACACATAATCACCATTCCAGATTGTGTACTGGGCTGCAGGACAGTGAGTTAAGGCCAGTCTGAACTTCACAGTGAGACCTTGTTTCAAAAAGCAAAACTTAAGTATTAAAAAAATCAGATTAAAACATAGAAAATGACTTGCCTTAAAAATTAATTAATACTCCATAAGCTTCAAAAAAACCCACAAGCATAAATGTAACTTCATGCAAGAAAAAGAACCAAGATAATAAAAGATAATGTAAAATACAAACACATAAACATCAGAAAAAGGTTTTGTAGCTTGAGTAGCAAGCGAAAAACAGACATGAAAATCTAAAGTCTATTCCTGGCTGAGAGTGTGTTGGGTGTGTAGCACCTAAAGCTGATGGAGCAAAAATTAACATAAAATATGTCACAAATTTAAAAACATGCTCATATTCTTTGCTTATAGAAAAAATACTTTATTGACAAATAATATGAATCTATTGGAGTATAGTTTCAAGGATCGATTAGAAATGGTAGGAAATACTTAGATTTTTAAAATGTAAATCAAATTAGGAAGTATAATTATATATATAGTACCTAATGTCAGGCCTGAAGAACCTGAGTTCAATCCCAAGTCCCACCTAGTGCAAAGAGAAGACCAACTCCCAAAAGTTTCCCCATGATCTCCACACGCACACCATGGTACATGTGTCCTATCCCCAACAAAATAAAAAAAATAAATAAAACAAACAAAAACCCAAATTCATTAAATTTTTAAAACCTTCTAAAAAGAAGATTAGTATATGTTCATAGTTTATGGAAACTATAACCCAAACAATCAGTTACTCTCCTAGCCCAGCTGATGGCAGGCATCATGTAACTGCGGCCTCTGCCTTAAACAGACTGGTTTCTGTTCCTGCCGCTTTGCACCGCCTGGTCACCTGACCTTCCTCAGTCACTTCTGCACTTTCTCCGGTCACCGCTCTCAGTGACCACACGCTATTCATGTCACTGCAAGGCACATAATAAAACGGCTCCTTGATCACTTACATTGTAAAAGAACATGAATACGGACAGAAGTCCTCAGAACTCTTCATTAAACAAAACTTAACAATATCACTACCTATCTTCAAACCAGTGGAAGGATCAGAGAGGGCAATTTATAATCTTCAAGATGACTTTGAAAACAACACAAACATACCAACTATGCTGTCAAAGAAAGCTCCACGCAGGTGCCAATCATTCTTATCATTCAGGAAAGTGATCATGTGGGACAACAAAACATCGTTGGCTTTCTGGCGCCCAAAGAAGACGCACAAACGTGTGATTCCATTCTCCATTAGGGTTTGTTTCACAATGTTCTCAGGGTCACTTAACAAAGTAACAACCTTCTGCTGGACCATTTCATGTAAGGCTTGGAGCTCTAAAAAATAACAAAAAGAAAGATCAATCTTCTCCCACTCATGCAGACCAAGCACTTTGTATTTTGTCATTTTGGATGACGGGCCTTGAACTCACAATTCTCCAATCTGGCCTCCAGGGTGATGAAATCACCGGTATGGCCAACCACAGCCAGACCTGTCTTCTTTCCTTCTTACTGGAGTAATGAAATGACCATAGGAGCTTCCACACAAACCCTGTATTTGCTAACCTTTCCCACCGTTCAAAGGTCTGCAGGTGGGATGCTGTGAGCACAATTACCATCCCACAAAACACCTCTCCGTTTATGAGCTCAAGAAGAAATGTAGGAGGAAGTACCAGGGAGGAATGCTCGTTACCTCCCCCAAAGATCAACTCATTAGAGGCCAAAGAACCTGACTGGTTTAGCATGTAACTTTTAGAAGACATTTTACAGTAAGATGATTTTATATTATGTATTTTGTGTATTTATGTATATATGTATTTTGTATATATATGCACACATATGTGCATCTGTATTTTATGTACATCATAATTCCTTTATATGGTCTGAGCAGCCTTCCTCTCTACTCATCGTCATTTGTCCACCCAGGAGTTTGACTGTCCCTACTCAAGTCCACATCTGAGAGCATTGATCACAGTTCTTGCCATTTCCCTATTGCACCCTGGCTGCAGAGCACATGGCTGGCCACCTCTCAGCAGAACAAAAGGAAGCAAAGCAGTCCTACTCTGCCCAGTGCTGCCCGGGAAAAGCAACGTCTGATAGGGAAAACTACACACTCATAGGGAAGGAAACTCCAGCTCCTCTAAAGCTGTGACAGTTAAATTCATGGTCTGAAGATGCTCCATTTCCTTTATAATTGTCCACAGCATACAAATGTGTAAACCAGATTTCTCTAATCATTCTCAACTTAACCAGCACAAAGCAGATTTAATTCTACTTCTGAATCTTTGGATAAAAACCTGCTACAAGTTTTTTTTTAGATACAAAGAAACCTAAGCCACGGGCCTTAGTGAGTTTATCATCATAGGTGTTTCTTTTATAGTAAATAGGAAACTTTAATATGTAAACCAGAGATATTCATTACTAAATTAAAACAACTCATAACTAAGGATTCTCAACACTACTCATGCAAGAAGAAAGGGTTTAGGTTCCTTAGTAATGATGTCTCCATTTTTTAATGAATATCACACAATCCTGTAGTGAGATATCCACCCTGCCCACACCTGTAGCCTTTGGGTGTGGTCAGAGCTACAGGTGCAGGCAGGGTGGCTATCTCACTGCACAATCGGGCTAGCTTTATTGCTCACATGACTCTGGCTGAAGCAAGGAAGCAAGTGTGGAATCTACAAGGACAAGTAGATCATTTCTAGCTAACAGTGTGTGAGGACAGAAAGGGTAACATGCCAGAGGCCCTTACTATCCTAACACCCCCTGTTCCTTCACTTTACAAGAGAATAACAAATGACAGCTTTTGCAGGTTACCATTAGCGATTTGGTGTAAACGATGGGAATTCTAAGAGGAGAAATAACACAACCTGTGTCGTAGTCTCCATTTGGCTGTGTGGCTTCATCTACCTCTTCACTATCCGGGTCGTTCTCCATGTTGAGAGTTTTTAGCTGCACTAGTTCCAGGAACCGCAGAGCTGTTTCAGCCAATAGAGCGATGTTCTCTGCAAGATGCCAGCAGGACAGTTACAGTTATCTCCAATCCTCAAGCTGCTCATAACCTCCTCCCAAAGTCCTTTAACTTTTTTGAGACAGGGTCCGGTGTACCCCAGATGGCCTCAAACTGGAGATCCTCCTGTTCTGTCTCTGGAGTATTGATGACTACAGGTCACCATTAGGCCCAGAATCCCCAATGTAACACGGAAAATAAGTGACCCAGAGACTGATATTGAGATTCAAACTTCAAGCTGAAAGTCGGAAAAGCAAAGCAGCTGGTCACTAATCCTTACCTCTACCTCAGAGTGAAAGGGATGGCCCATGAGCTCTCCTCATTGTGCCTGGAGACTCAACTCCTGTCTTCAATGTGCATGCCTGATGCTGAGACCTTGCTCCTGTCTTATAAATCTCTCATGAGTCCTGGGATTAAAGGTGTGAGATATAATTCTCTTTTAGACTGGTTCACTCTGGGCAGCCTTGGACTCACAGAGATCTGTCTACCTCTTAATCCTAAAGCCTAGGATTAAAGGTGTGTACCACCACATCCTAGCTTCTGGCTGCTAGGATTAAAGGTGTGTATCATCCCTGATTGATCTCTATAGTTTGCTTTTCTGAATCCTCAGGCAAGCTTTAATAAATCATAAATAATATATCACCACACCTCAAGTTCTTATTCATCTAAATATTACTCAAAAATATCTACAGGAAAAGCAGGATTTTGCAAGTTAGACCCTAATCAGTTTCTGTAATTGATCCCATAATCTATGATAATCTCTAAACAAAAATAACAAAAAATTCTGCATTTGTAGAAACTGTCTAAAGTAAGTATCCAGTTCTAATGAGAGAAAAAGAGAAGACGCTTAATCCTTCCACAAAGCTAGCCTTTAAAGATATCCTGACAAGTTAGAGAGTTATTAGGCTAACACGGAAGCATTAGCTCTAAAGTAACCTCACATGGGGCCTTGGGATCAGACAGGTCTACTCCTCCCAGGTTCTGGAACTGCTTCAAAGCCTGAGTCTCCATTTCTTCAGATAAATGAGGACTGCCTTGAAAAGCCATTACTAAACTGAATCAACCATTATCAGAAGGCTGTCCAAGTAATATCCTGAAGTTCTCCGTGGACAGAGGTGAGACTGCTGGCCACACTTCTGTACTGACTGTCTTTACTCTGGTGATCTCTAAGACTCACGGACACTCCTCACCACTCAATGTATCCCGTTCTCACTTCTACTACTGAATTTACTGTCATCTACGTCTGCTCTGCACTATTCTCCATTTTCTATTCATCCCTACTTTCAATCCTCCTCCCCTTTTGATTCTGTGCTTCACCTAGGACTCTTAATAGGGAAGAAAGATTGCACTCTTCTTTCTCAACAACAATGACTACCTTAAGCTGAAACAAGTGCTGGAGATCAAATCCACAGCCTTACACATTTCAGCCACACTTGAGTCTATTCAATACAGCAATTCTCTTCATCCTAGGGTCCCCACCATAGCCAGGCTCAACACTGTTCAAAATAAAACAAACACTTGGGCTTGGAATATGGCTCAGTCAGTGGTACTCTGCATGCAAGCGTGACAACCCGTGTTCTGATCCCCAGCACCCACATGAAAAGGTGGACGAGGCAGCACAGGCCTATAATCCCAGTGCTGGGAAGATGGAGCCAGGAGGATCCCTAGGGCTTGTTGGCCAGCCAGCCTAGCCAAATTGGTGACTTCCAGGTTCAGGTGAGAACCTGTCTCACAAATTTAGGGAGAGAGATAAAGACACCCAACATCCATACCTGCCCTTATAATATGTACACGTACACACACACACACACACACACACACACACACACACACACACAGAGAGAGAGAGAGAGAGAGAGAGAGAGAGAGAGAGAGAGAGAGAGAGAAGAACACTACATATGCTTGATAGCATCCCATAGTAAGCATGATGTTATTCCAAAACACCCTAACAGGAGAAACTAGGGGCTAAGGTGTAGCTCAGCAGAATACTTGTGTACCAGGCAGCAAGCACAAAAGCCTTGGTTTTGACCCCCAACACCAAACAAACAAGAGATGGGAGATTTCTAGGTCATACTGTCACTGACCCTGAATTATCACAGACACTTGGCCAAGTTCTAGTCCTGCAGCTCCAGGAACTAAACATTAGCAGAAACGGGTGGCTCACAGTCCCGTCACTCAGTCTTTTTTAACCTTAAAATGAAGGTAAAACACCTTACTCAAAGCTGCTGCAGGGTTAATGCAAAAATCTCAGAACCTTGTGCAATCTGCAATCTGTGCCTAAACATCAAACAGGATTTTGAATACACAACAGCTATTGCTTTTATGCTAGGCCTATGAGTAAGTGAATGCGAATACATTAACATGGCACCTGCACATCAGAACTTCACCTACATGACAACTAAGAACAGGTAACACACACTAAGCCAAAAGCAGGGTCATACGATTGAAATAAGAATGATATATATTGCTTTTCTAAATCTGTGTTTCTTGTATGTAAGTTGATTTACCTGATTCCCAAATGAATTAGAAACAAGCTGTCACAAATAATAAAATCAGATGTTCAGATGTGTCTTAAAGAGATCCTGGACTTTTAGGCCTCACATTATGCCTCCACAATACACAAACAAGAAGCCACAAATGGGAAACACCAAGAACAATGCATGCATTGAAAAAGAAAGCACCCAGCAGGGCGTTGATGGAGCACGCCTTTAATCCCAGCACTCGGGAGGCAGAGGCAGGAGGATCTCTGTGAGTTCAAGGCCAGCCTGGTCTCCAGAGCGAGTGCCAGGATAGGCTCCAAAGCTACACAAAGAAACCCTATCTCGAAAAAAAAAGGAAAAGAAAAGAAAGCACCCAACAACTGCCAACCCCTTGGGGTTGTGCCTAGATATAAAATTAGTGTCCAAAAACCAGTTTTCACAGACTCTATTAACAATGTCAGGCAAATACTAAACAAACTAATAAGCACATAGCTTTTAAAACGTGGCAATATCAATGCCACATGTGTGCTATATATTATGTACAAAGATTTCCAAACAGAAGGCCCATTTTCCATTAGATCATAGATATAAATTATGGATTATGTAAATGCCTCGGTGATATTTCTCATGGTGAAGTAAGCATTCAGAATTAGCTTGAGAAGCTGAAAACATGAATCTTTACTGTTGGGCTTTGTGAGAGAGAACTCTAAGCAGAACAAGTAGGTGTGCATGACATACCCATCCCATCAAGAAAGATGTCACGCATCCTGAGCGCTGAGGTAAGGGAATGGGGACGTAACTCAGAACCTCCCTTGAACACCACAGTCTTTCTCGGTAGTAACAGGATGTTCTGCCCTGAGATGAATAAGAGTGTTTGCTCAGGGAAACTTTGAAAAGGCTGCAACTCTAGATCAGAAGCAGGGGCTTGTGAACACGAGTCTTCCCCAGATAAATGTACTATTCAGATCAAACTGTGAGAATCCACACTGTACACTTCTTCATTTGATAATTCTACTCATTTTAAATGCAAAAATATACACAAAAGTTGAGCCCCAGGAACAGATTAGCTTATAAATATTAATATGGATATATGCATTCATAATTCAAGAGCAGAATTCACACAAGAAATTTTCTAAGAGATCAAAAATATCAAGAGGTATGACAGTGTTTGGAAAGCATGTGAAAGGCTGTAAATAGGACAATGAACTCTTACCAGCATAGGCCAGTCTGACGATAGTAGCATCATCTTGGGCCAGGTGGGCTATGCCTGGGAGAATGTACTCCGGATAGATATTGACATCATTCCGGGGAACCTCTTTGACAAGGGCAAGAACTTTGGTGAGCGTCCTCAGGGCTTCGGCCCTCACTCGGGGAACAGAGTCATTGCTGAAATGCAACAAGTATGGAGTAATTCGATCCAGAAGGATCTCCACACTCAGCCTTGGGGCCAAGTGCAGAATGAGCTCCAAGGCAGCCAGTTTGGAGTCACAGGACTTCAGGGTCTGCAGGCAGGACGTTATGACGGACACCAAGACAACCAGCCCACTTTCCTTGGGTTCCCCTTCTGCTTTCTCAGGTAAATCATGTCCACAGAGATTGTGAATAATGTTACCCAAATCTTTCCGTATAACCAAAATCCGCTCATCTGCAGAGAGGAAGGTTTCCTTGGCGAACTGAGCCATGTAAGGCTGAAGGAAAGTATAAAATATCTCAGGGACAGCATTGCCACGCTGCTGCTTCAGGTAATCCTCCGCCTCCAAACGCTTTTCCGGCTCACGGTGGATCATCTGAGTTACCTACAGGAAAGGAGGAAGAGAAAAGGGTACATTTTAGAACATGTAGTAAAAGCCAGATGGAATGGCTCACAACTGTAACCCCAGAACTCGGGAGTTTTGGGCAAGGCTACATGATGAGTTCAAGACCAGCCTTCTGAGCTGTGTAACAAGTTCAAAACCAACTTGGACTACACAGGATCTCTCTCTCTCTGTCTCCCACGCGTGCACGCGCGCGCGCGCACACACACACACACACACACACACACAACTGCATGTGATTGAAAGGATTTCTAAAGTAATTTTAATTATTCTCTTTGTCCAGCCATTTTTTTTTTAAACAGCATATGAACATGTAGCCCTGACTGGCGTGGAACATATAGAGCATAGAGATCCACTCACTACCTTTGATTCTCCTGAGTAATGGGATCAAAGATGCCCACCACCATTTGAAACAGCTATCCTTTCTTTTTAGAACCACAAACTGTGTCTCTCATCATCCCAGAAGGCAATGGGACGTTACATGCTAACGTGCAGACAGCCTGACATATAAGAGGTCACACCCTGTTTGGTATTTGTTATTAAAGAAGCAACAAGATTGCCATTTTATCCCCTCAACTGAAGAATGGATAGAGAAAATGTGGTACATTTACACAATGGAGTACTACTAAGCAGAAAAAAAACAATGGATTCTTGAAATTTGCAGGAAAATGGATGGAACTAGAAGGAACCATTCTTCTAGTGTGAGCTAGGTAACGCAGTCACAAAAAGACAAACGTGGTTATGTACTCTATGTTTTAGACATAGAGGAAAGGATTACCAGCCTAAAATCCACACTGCCAGAGAAGCTAGTAAACAAGGTGGACCCTAAGAGAGACATACATGGTCCCCTGGAGAAGGGGAAAGGGTCAGGATCTCCTGAGCAAATTGAGAGCACGGAAGAGGGGGGAGGGAGCTAGGAGAATGAGAAGGGGAGAGGAGGGATGCAGAGGACGTAAGGGAGCAGAAAGGTTGAGTCAGGGGAAGAATAGAAGAAAACAAGAATGGAGATACCATAATAGAGGGAGACATTTTAGATTTACAAAGAAGCAGACACTCACAACTAATCACTGAAATGAACTGGAATCCAGATGCAGAGAAGGATGAGTGAAGAGCAAAGGGGTCCAGACCAGGCTGACGAAACCCACAGAAACAGCTGACCTGAACATCGGTGAACTCTTGCTCCCCAGACGGATAGCGGGGATACCAGCATGAGACTGATCCAGATCCCAGGAACATGGGTTTCAGTGAGGACACCTCGGGAATCTACGGGACCTCCTTCAGTTGTTCAGTGCTTACCTCTAGCACAGATGTGGACTTTGGGAGCCCATTCCACATAGAGGAATACTCCCTGAGCCAAGGCACATGGGGGTGGGCCTAGGCCCTATCCCAAAGGATATGATAGATTCTGATGACCCCCTATGGAAGGCCTCACCATCCAGGGGCGCAGAAAGGATATATGATAGGTAGGGTTTTAGTTGGGGGGGGGGGGGGAAGGGGGGGACGGGAGGGAGAGGGAACTGGGATTGTCATGTAAAACAATCCTGTTTCTAATTCAAATAAAAAATCTGCAAATAAAATAAAAATAAAAAATATAAAAAGAAGCAACAACCCTTCAGAGAAAAACAAATAGGCACAGCTGCACACACAAAATCACACACGAATCTGGAAGAAATTATAGGACTCCTGAGGTCATTTCAGAGCCACTATTAAGAGTTCTGGTTTAAACTATACTGCCACAAATCCAAAGGATTAGCATATGGTTTAAGTGTAGTTTAGTCCAGTAGAGAATCAAAGGGCTGATAATGTAGCTCAAGCACAGAGCACTGGCATTGATGTGTGAGGTCCTGTGTTAGGTCCCAGCCTTCAAAGATAGAAAATGCTAGGGTGGGGAGATGGCTCAGCACCTAAGAGCACTTGCTCAGCTCTCAGCACCCACATCAAGGGCTCACAACCATGTAAAACTCCAGATCCAGGGGATGTAACACCTCTGAAATTACATGCACGCCCATGAGCGTGGGCGCACGAATACATACATA